GGGGGTAGGGTTGTTTGGGGGATTCTTTACTTACAGCTTTGCTTCTATTTTGTTTCATTCATTTTCCATGACCAAAAATATAAACAATGATAAATAAATATATGCGTCATTTTTCAGTCTTTCTATCCTGTATGTCATTTTATGTATTGATGTAGGACCACAAGAAGAATAGCAAACAGTTGTTACATTAATTTTGTGCTTTCCTGTCCCTATTCTTTAAAATGGGTTAACAATAATCAAACTACCGGTAGCAAATCTGTAATATTGTGCCAGCATCCTGTTTCTGGACCGGTTCCAACATTTGTAAGCTTTGACGTCTCTTTCTACATTTGATGCAGATTTTGATGTTTGTCGGATCAAAATATGGAAACTCACACCAGCCTCCTCTGACCAGTCTCTTCTGTACCAGCAAACCGTTTTTCACACCTAAACCAGATTTACGACGTCACAAATTAGCTTCTTGATGAATTTTTAAAGAGCCTCCTGTGAGACAAAGGCAGAGCGGCCGGTAAGGGTGCCGGCTTCGCCCGACCTGACGGCTGCAACTCGTCTTGTTTTGTGGAGCTGAGAAAATCTGGGTCAATGGCACAATAAACAGGGCAGGGATAGTAGAGTACAGGGCAGGGATAGTAGACATGGCATCATGTAGGACCATGTATGTGTGATGTTTGATGTAGTACATTATATCATGTAGGAGGTGTGTGTGTGGGGGGGGGGTGTTGGTACCATGTTTGCTGTAGTACAAGGTTTATAAACTTCACATTGCAGCATGCTGCTTTGGCCACATCAAATCAGTTCCTTGGTTCTCTGACTTAAAAGTTAACAGTTTCACAAGATTCTAAAAACAAGTTGAGAATAGAGGCTAAACTATTGACTTGTTGCAATCTCAAGAAAGAAAGAAGAGAGAGAGATAGAGAGAAAGGGAGAGAGGGAAAGAAAGAAAGGCTGAAGAGAAAAACTTGAATCTGACTGTATTCACACCCAGACACTGTGTGTACAACGGTACAGGCTTCACCTCAGACTCTGTTTTGTGTTGATCAAATTCTTCCAGCGATATTTTTTCAATACAAGAGCCAATAAATCATATCAGAGTGGCCCTTACGTAGCAACACGTCTCCTGAGACAGAAATAGAAGAACAACAGCCTAACACGACCTACAGACTGACCACACGCCACACGGAGCGACAAACCCGGGGTCACTGACCTGTCACTGGTTCCGCAGGAGCCCTGCTGCCTTCTGATTGGCTACCTGGCTGTGCAGGGGATGCTGGGAGATTCTCCTGACCTTGACTGGTTGGTCGTTCTGTGATGAGAAAAAGTTACAGTGTAAAGGTCAACTTCAAGTTCAAAACATTTCTGTACAGAATTGATGTTGAGTTGGGTAATAATATCTTCCCTGTACTTGTAACAGAGTATAATAATGTATAGATGTAGATGTATGACTCTCTGTATACATATACTGCATACCAGTCTGACTTTGCCTGATTGTGCCTACTGCAACGAGGATATAGATAGGCACAGAGAACAGGGAATCATCAAGATCATTAAGACTCAAGAAATACTTATTGATCTTTTGCAGTGAACAACAAATCACTGAATTGCGAATCAATGTACATTTCTTTAAAAGAACGCAAGAGTATACACTATTGCACACTGTACAATCAAACTACTCTGACTTTTAAACTTTTATTTTATAATGTATTAAGAATTGTGTACAGTAACTCTAATTTTAACAGTGGCTTTGTAATCAATGACATGTTTCAGGTAATATTGATTTTATTCCTGTACTAAACATGTATGTCCTGTACTACATGTATGTCATTGGAAATAAAATCTGAGACTGAATCTGAATCTACAGGAACTTTTAAAGGACACATAAAATGTTTGAAGAGTCATACAGTTAAATTCTTGTGAAACTGTACCGACTGTTTACTCCATGTTCAACTCATCCAACCCCCATCCTGCTGCCCCCATACTGTCTGCTGTAACATGTGTGATGTATGTTTGTGGCCTTCTGTATTTGGAAACTGCCTTAACCTCTGCCTACAGACTGAGACAAGGTCCGCATGGGACATGGCTACTCTGTGTCCGAATGTTACCTTTTCACATGCTACATTATCTGATGTGTGTCCGAATGTTACCTTTTCACAAGGCCCACTTTGCTACATCATCTGATGCTGCTTTTCTACGTCCGAATGTTACCTTTTCCTACCGATGGAGACAGTACCCACTTTGCTACATCATCTGATGTGATGATATTTCTAAGTCCGAATGTTACCTTTTGCTACATCCAGGAACAAGGCCCACTTTGCTACATCATCTGATGTGGCTTTTCTTTCACTGAATGCTATCTTTTCTTCAGCCTTCATCCCACTATGAGGCATTTATCCAAAAACACATCTACTGAACAGGTCCTGACTTCACTTCACATCACTAGAACTTCTACTGGCCGTTATCACAGAGGGAAGGTGGACAGTTTACTTCCATCATGACCTCAAGGAAAAGCACTTAGTAAACAAAGGCTGAAACAAACAAACAAACAAACAAACAGCCCCCACCTGTAGTGTCGTCCCTGCCGACTGGCTCCTCGTCTCTCAGAGAGATGAAGGAGGGAAGTTTGGCGACCTTCCTGGGTGGTTCCTCCTCAGAAGACTCCTCAGAATCCTCCTGACAATCTTCCTTAGACTCCTGCTGATGCTCTGAGTCTCCTTCTGCAGGCCTGTAAGGAACAGGACAGGCATTATGTCAATATACAATGTAGGTTGGACATCCAGGTAAAAGGATAAAAAAAGAAAACAGTTAAAACCGTCCTCGGTCATGCATGACAGGAACTTGAAGAGACAGTACATGGTGTCACTAAAACTAAAAGGATGAACTGAACTAAACAGTTATACCCAGTGTTGATGTCACACTTTAGTTCAAAGAAGCCACGTGACAAGCCTCACTGGGTCAGTCTACTGAGGAAGACCAGAGTGACTGGTTGAAAGCTGAGACTAGGTTAGAGAACTTCTTTGTAATTTTTTCACAAAGTTATGATATTGAGGTAGACTAAGTCATCTCACACACAAGTTGTTTTTATCAGCTGTATTTCCAAGCCTTACAACAACACTATGAAACCACAGCCTGGCCTGACGCCAGGTTTAGTTAGATTTATGACTCTATCCTGCCAGAGTCCTGCTCAACACAAAACTTCCTCATTTTCAACCAGTTCAATTTTCTTTTCATCAGCCCAGGTTCATGATCGGACCTAGGGAGCCAGAGAGTGCTTGTATCTAGGGGGGTCAGGGGACAAGTTTTGGTTTTCAAGCTGTTAAAAATGCAATTTCCTACATTTTTGAGATGCAAATCATGGGGTTGAGAGTGGTTGTTGTGGTCCTCTGGATGTTGTAATATTTTTACCCGAACTTTTTTGTCAGCTTTGTCCATCAAGGCCTTACATCAACATGATCAAACCACATCCTTGGCAAGACTCCAGGTTTAGATATATCCATGACTCCATCCTGCCAGAATCCTGCTCATCACAAAACTTCCTCCTTTTCAACACAAAACATGAAACACCAGTTCCTCATGGCAAACCTCCCTCTGACAGCTGGCAGCTATCAGCAGTCAGGCCACACCAATTTCATTTGTTGGTTCTTTGATTTTTTTTTTTCAGAAAAAATATGAAGCGACAGGGAAAAAAAAATAGAAACTGAGGTTTATGCCAAGTGATAAAGTTGTTACCAGTATGTATGTTAACAAAACAACACTCCAACCAGTTGGTACAAAATGTAACAGGGCATGTTCCTACTAGTAGCATTATAAGTAAATTTTTCTCTTACATCTCCTGACAAGCCTCCCTGTGCCAGCTGGCAGCCATGACTGAGGTTATGGAAACTTGCCAGACTGGACACAACTTCCTTGTTCTCCACTCCCCCCAAAATATCAACTCCAGAAAATTTCCTGGTACAGCAGAAGAGCTGAGGGCATCTGAGAAATCAAATCAAAATCAAACCTCAATGGAAAACAGACTCTTACAGTTCACAAATTTATCTATCATTTTCTGATATGCGCGCTGACGACATGCTGCCACTACTGCCAAGCAGGCCCCAGGAAAAACGAACAGACTCGAATTTGTACTTGACTCTGACTTGTTACTAGGAATGAACCATTCTGTTTTTGGTTTGCGCAGTTTAGTCATAGTCTGTTGAGACAGTTCAAACCTGTCTCAGAATCACATGTACATTACTTGTACTTCAAAACAATTAGCTCAGTAAGTATTGCACCAGAGTCACATGCACAGCTTCTGACAGGAATGAAGCATGTTCTGGACCAGGTCCAGACTGTCTCCCCACTGACTAACAGCCAAGCTGATAACACCACTTCTCTGTGTCTGTCATCTGCCACAAGGCTCTGGTGAAGTGATGGGAATATCTCGGTGAAGGTTAGACGTCCAGGTAATAAGATACGCCAAATTCGTACTTATAAACCTGCCTTTCTGACAACTCTCCAGTGTCACTGACGAAAGCTAGTGGATGCTATCTGAAACGTCTGACCGTTTTCAAAATCATATCTATCCAGTTGATTGAGTAACTGTTTTTTTAACGAGAATATCATCTGGAGAAAAGAGGAAGTTTTTGTTCCAGTCGTGACCTGAGTTAAGTCAAACATTCCCAGCTGGTGACAACATCCTTGTGGCAGGACCTCAAGCCTTGAGTTCTGGGAAATACGTCCTGTGTTCCAGCAAGGAGGTTAACCAAGTCCTTGGTTCCAGGAAGTAAGTTAAAGATCCTGTGAGTGGCTGTGTATCTGTATCTGTATCTGTATAGCCGGTATAACCGCCTTTCGGCGTAACACACCAGCTTCGCAGGCACGCGGGTGTTACACACGCGGCTGTGACACATGGTAAGAAGAGTACAGGTTTGCTGTAGTGTGGTCTGGCCAAGTGTGGGGACACATTGTCTGCCTTCTGTCCAGGCATTCAGGACCACTATCAGCATCAGCCTTGCTGTCATCCTCTGTACTACCTACCAGTTCCCTCTCTTTACTTGCTGAGACAAATGTTTCAATCAGATGGACCAGGCTTTGGAGATGTAGTAGCACCTGTTCTGACACCTATATGAACACCTGTCCTGACACCTGTTCTAGCACCTGTTCTGACACCTGTGCCAACACCTGTTCTAGTACCTGTTCTGACACCTGCACTGACAGCTAGTTGCACCTGCCATCTGTAGAATGGAAGGCCCCTTCCTCCCATCTCACACCAGTACACACACCTGTTCGGACACCTGTAGGAACACCTGTTCTAGTACCTGTACAAACACCTGTATTGACACCTGTATTAGCAGCTAGTTGCACCTGCACTAATATCTGTCAAATGTACTCACACCTGTACCCCATCCTCACCTGAGTGATGTAGCAGGCTCTCCCGTCTCCTGCCCAGCCTCTGATCGTCTCCTCTTCTCCCTCCTCCTCCTGTGGACCATCCTGCATCTCCCCCCGCGGGGGCACGAACCTGTCCTGCTGAAGTCTGGGCACTCCAGCGTGTGCTTCTTTGTGCACTGCAGTAAACAACAATAATAACATAAACAACAATAACTTAGAACAACAAGTAAACTATCAACAACTGGCGGCTAGAAACCGCATGAACTGTATCAAGTAGTAAATGGACTGATATACTAGTATTCTAATCTATGCTGTTTCTAGTACCCTTATACTTATTTTTATGTACTTATATTAGGTTTAAATTGTTTTCTGTGTGGCCACAACACCAGCCCCCGCTGCCTGTGGCCCACGAGTATTGTGTATTTGTTTGCAATCCCAAGCATTACAACATAAACAATAACAATAACTAAAGTCTAGGCCGTCCTTCTTTGTACACAGGTAAACAACAGCAGCATGTTAAATCCAGGCAGTCAATCATATGCTACTTGGCACAACAATGGGAACATGATACATATATAACATCTGCTCCAGTGAAGCAAGATGGCTTTTACAGAATACATGTACATGTACCATCTAAACTGTGGCAACAAGCTGCACAAGTCTGTGAAACAGTCTGGTTTCTGCTGTGTTCCCAGAGAAAAGCAAAGGATTGATTGTATCCAAGCAATTTCCCACTTTCCTCACAATAAAACGTTAAAATCTGGTCCCGACTATCGACTTCTCATCTATCCTTTCCAAAAAGACTTCCAATTGCAAGCCCACGACCTCATCCCGGCCTCACAACCGACCAATAAAAACACACCAATCAATCCACAGCCTCATTCCAGCCGACCATCTCTCAACCAATCAATGCTCTTCTTCCCTTTGAAGTGGACCAATGACAGGGCACAAATCAGGCCGGATTGGCAGGAGGATGGAGATGAGAGGAGGCGGGTGAACGGGCGGTTAAGGCTCGATAATCCCCAACCCTCGAGGGTTTATCCCTACATCGCTCCGAAGCCGCCCAGGATTAGCGTCTTTAGCCTCAACCCAGGCCATGGTGGGCCTGTTAGTCACAGGTCAGGTCACAGGTCAGGCCTGTCAGTCACAGGTCAGTCAAAATTCTAAAATCCAACCCTTTAGCATGACTGTTATAGCCTGGTTACCAAACCTATTATAGCTCCCGAGTCCTACTAGAGGATGTAG